TCTCCAACCACCTCCAACTCACACCCGCCTAATAGTGTTGAACACCTTGATTAGTTGGATTAACTGTGTTTGATTATGATTGAAGCAAAACTGTGCACAGCTGCGGCCTTCCACGGATTCAGTATGAGACCTATGGCATAAGTGCATAGTGTGCTATTTGGGACGCAGCATGAACCTTTAATTTAAAGGGAATAAAATTTAAAATTTATACCCTAGAAGCATGTCAAATGAATTGATATCATGTAAATATAGTGACCATGCTGGAAATTGCTAAGTCGCATGTCATGTGTGAGTAAATAATGACAGAATTGTCAGTTTTGGGTGCGCTATCCCTTTAAGCAGGGTAAGAAACTGGCTAAGCAATACTGACCCCCTTCCCCCTCTTTCGTTTTACTCTTTTATCCGTCACTTCACCTCTGGCTTCTGGAAAATACCTCTTTTAGTGCAGGGGAAACATATCAGCATTTGAAGCGTCCGTTTTTTTGCCTTTAAGGTGTTGTAAATCTCTGTTCTCGGGCCTCGACATGGGATTACATCAATTCAATTGACCTTTTGTCACTTCCAACAGGCAAATTAATGCTGAACATTATGGCAAAAACAAAGAATTTAAGTTCGACTGCAAAGGCCACTGCCTTGAAGTGTAAAGCTTCAGTCCAGCTGAAAAAAAGGGAAACGTGCGTTGGGTTTTGTCGAGTGTTATTGATCGTGTGTGTTTTGGAAAAGTACTGTGCTTTTCAGTCAACCGAATACTGTCACTGCGTGTGCACATCAGAAAGGGCTCTCTGAAATGGAAAAAAAAAAATGAAAAGAAAAAAAAAAGTTGAATTGTTGTGTTCCGGTCTTCATGTCGATTATACTGTATCTTGTAAACGGACCAATGCACATTCTTGGCACATTGTACTATTCGTAGCAATTACTGGTATGGACAACAAAATATGCATTATTTTTATTAAACAAATGAATAAATAAAAAAAATCTTGTTAAACTAAAGATTTAACTTTTACCTCGTGTCAGGGACTGCTGAAAAGAACGGAAAAAAAATTAGGTTTCTTAATATACCAATGGGATTTTACTATTAGCACATTGCTGTTCGTCTTTTGCACAGATTACTGTAACGTGCAATTTGTTTTCCCTGTTTTCTATTCATATTTTGTGTATCAAGGTGGGCGAATTTTGTACTTTTTTTCTGTGACTGTGCGTACGGTTTAGTGGAATCTATATTTGTCATTTACATTTCACCTTTCAGTGCTGGGACAAACAGACGAGAGAAGGGGATAAAGGTGCACTCCTCTTTATTGTTGTTAACTTGACAAAATAAGGGAGAAAAAAAAAGTATTATACAAGTTTTCAGAGCCACATCTGTTGATTATCACATTTTCATCTAGAGTTGTTGCTATTACTATTATTATTATATACTTTTTTTTTTCTTATTAACGCTGTAAGGAAACATAGGATTCTAGTGTAACATATGTACAGACGTAACGGGAAGATGCGTGGTGATGTTCTCCATTTGAAAGTCTTTATCTTTGCTCTGTTATGGTTTTTAATCCATGAGGAAAAAGAAAAAGGGTTTTCTCTTCGTAGCAGATGACTTCTAATATCCCTCTAGGTTTTGTATTGATACATTTTTTTGTAATTTTCCTATTTTATTTTGGCCTGGACTTGATTTTAATCAATATTGAAATTTTATTTTCTAACGATTAATACAGAATAAACTTAATGAATACATAAACCTCTGTGTCGTTTATTTGTGCCTGAACAGCGGACGGTTACTTGAAGCTGGATTTCTCTGTGGATCTGTGGGTCAAGCTGGCTTTAATTGGAAGGTCAAATATGAAATATTTAATCTGATTGCAGTGCGAGATTCATTTGGGGCTCTGGGATCTAGATAAGCGTTCTTGACTGATTAGCATTAATACTGTGTTTTTAAATTAGGCTGGTAAGATGTTTGAATGTTTATGCCTCTTATGATCATCAGAGCTGCGTTTACTTGATTAAACAGCAATATTGTAAAATATTATTGCAACTGACAACAACTGTGTTGCATTGAACATACTTTAAAATCATTTATTCTTCCTATTCAAATCTGAGTTTCACAGGATCCTTCAGAAATCATTCTGATATGCTGATTTGATGCTTCTTAAACATTTCAATAGCAGCTAATTTTGAATATTAGCATAGCACAGCTGTGATGTGAATGAAAGGCTACATTCGACATGACCCACCCAACATTTATAGGAAACGCCACATTCATCCAATCATTTCACTTCAAGCAGAGAAGCGCTTCATCAAACTCTACACTCTGTAGAAGGCTCAGTCTGGGCTGATTTTGTTGTTTAATGGAGAGACGACAGTCTGAACTTCAGATACGTCGTCCTCTGAAGGCCAAGGGTCCTTTCCACACATCAGAAAGGGTATTGCATACCTCTGGAACTAAAACAGACATTCATTAAATTCAAACCGCCACTTTTAACATTATGTATAATGGCATATAATTGCCATTTTAAGAACTCAAAAGAAACATGATGACAAGAAAAAAATAAGTTAGATTTGTATGATTTAGGATGTGCTTGTATCAGAACACTCGACTGGTGTTAAAAATTAAGAGGAATTATTTGAGGCGCAGTTAAAAATATATTTGCAATGTATTGCATATGCATTAGTACGCATTTTCTATTTAGACATGTTTATTTTAGTAGAGTTTTTACAGGTAAATGAATCAAGGTAATTATAGACCTTTCTCTTGGCTGCTGCATGGAGGGCGCCATAGCGACCAGCGTCTTCCGGTAGAATGGTTAGAACTTCTGTTTACAGCGTTCACTATGGGTAATTTGCGATTTTAAAAATGGGTTTCAATAGCATTTTTAATGGAATACGGAGTGTTTTTGTGACACACAACTTAGAAAGGTGTGTGTTAAAGCCGTTTTAACCTGTCAGATGTAGTTTAAGCAAAAGAGAAAAATGTTCTCCTAGTTCACGTGTCTGCCATCAGAAATACAGTGTGTGTGTGTTTCCCCGGCCTGTCAGCTGTTAGCTCAGCGGCTCTTTATTGCGGCTCAACAATCCATATTTGGATTGAATCAGCCATATTGGATTGGCCATATTGAAGTGTAGTTCCAAACTGATACTCTGCTGCTGGCTAACTTGCTGTTCATTCTAATCGCGAGCCGTTCATGTTTAATTTATTTTCATTTCATGTTTCGTTTATGTTTTATTTAGTTTGTTGTTTTTACGACGGTTTGTGTTTTTCTGTCATTTCAAAATAACACTAGCCGATATTTTCAAACATATATTGTGTGTCAAACATTTTGGAGAATTACATTAGTTTGGGCAGGTTATATATTTGAAAAAAAAGAGAAAATGTTGACTTTAGCAGAGATGAAGATGTCGTCTCACAACAAGAGAAAAAACCCAATGTTAAAACTGTTCTACTAATAAATTGCATACACCTTATTATTATCAGTGCTTTATTGGCTTGCAATCTTGACTTGTTTAGTAACGATGCATTCAAAATGAGAGATATCAAAACAATCATAGCCGCCATATTGAAATGTAGTTGCAAATTGATGTTGCAAACTCCGTTTCATTCAGAAGCACTCATCCCTAGGCCCTGTCACTTCAGCACTTTAGGCATAGGAACATCTCTCCTAAATGGATCTAAGTGTGAATTTGGCCAAAAGTTTCTGAAGGGAATAAAATAATTTTGCAACATGAAGCAAAGGTTATATTCAATGTGAAAATGTTGCAACAATGCAAATTTCATCAGTAAAATATAAGTAAAGCTCTTTTTAGGATTGCAATAGTTTATAAGGGAAAAAAAATGTCAGTTAAGCACTATATTTGTGCAACAACATGTCATGCTGCTCGGGAGAATACAGTTTCTCAGGAGCAACAGTTAAATAGAAAAAAAATTGCGGGGTGGGGGGATGCTTTTGCTAGAGGATGTTTTGTTTCTTTGGGCTATGCAATATACAAGAGAGCCCAAAATTTAAGTGAAGTTTACTTATAAACTAATTTTTGAGAGGATCACATGCTTATTATTGACCATGGCTGGGCCCGCATTAGTTAACACATGATTCACCAATCAGATGATTCCTAACTCACTATAATAACCAGAGTTCCTTACCTCAGTTATCTTTGTTTTGAAAAATCCCTCCTCCCACCCCTACTCCCCCATCCTTTACTAGATTGGGCGACACGGCAGCCTGGTGATTAGCACTGTTGCCTCACAGCAGGAATGTCTCAGGTTAAAGTCCTTACTAAACCAGTAGACATTTCTGTGCAGAGTTTGCTCGTTGTCCTCGTATTCCTGTGGGTTTCCCAAAGGGTTCCAAGAGTTTCTCCCACAGCCCAAAAATACACTACTTAAGTAAACTGAACTTACTAAATAAGCACCATAGTCGAGCTCTTGGTAAGCTGTTTATTTCTCTATAGCCATCCCTTTATTTGTTATTAGCCAGAAATAAGCATGGGAGTTCTTGAAACCTACCTGAGCTAAAACTCCCCTCTCGCCCTGCAAATGGGAGGGAGCCCCGGGCTCTCTCTCCCGGGACAGCATGCCAAACAAGCTTTAAAATGATCATTAGCTAAGTGTGAACTCTTGAAATGTATGACATTTAGTTGTAACTGTGTATCAGTACTGTATGTATTTTTGTTTCTACAGTATTGACCTTATTCTGCAATGCGGATGTGCGCTCGTCTTTTGCGGGTGTTTTAGAACTTCCGATTCGGTTTCCTATGGGATAAATGACGAGGAATAATAAGCGGCAGAAAACGGTCAGCTCTACAAACAAGTGTGTTCATGAGTAAACATAAAAAGGAGAACAAAATAAGAAGAAAATGTCAGTTTGCAACATCAAGCAGCAAAACAAGCTGCTTTTAACGTCTAAAAATCAATGGAAGTGAATGAGAGCGGAAGTCTGGAGCCAAAGAGATTTCAATTGCTGCACTCACTCGTAGGTAAAGAATAAGGTCAATATGTGCCATATGGGTGCACATGATCAGCTTGTTCTGCTCACCTGTTTGTTCATGTATATGTAGATCAAGGGGTTGTATACAGTGCTGCTCTTGGCCATGTATATGGGTAAAACCTTGACCAGCACGGCCAGCTGGACCTCAGGTTTGGAGACGACGGTTAGAGCGAGAGCAGCGTAAGGCAACCAGCTCACCAGAAACGCCAACACCATCATCACCACCATCCAAGCCACCCGAGCCTCTGCCCGCGCCGCCGCTCCACCACCAACCTTAGCAACCTGTCGGAGGAAAGAAACAGCAGATCTTTCAATGTGTTCGAACAACAAGTGTTGGCCATTACACAAAGTAAGCACTGAGTAAACTAATACACTGCTTGTTTCAAGAGTTCGCACTTAGCTGATAATCAATACAGCGTATTTGGCATGCTGTCCCGGGAAAGAGCCCTGAGCTTGTTATATCCTCGAGTCAGGGGCTCCCTCCCGTTAGAAGTTCGAGCTCAGGTAGGTCTCGAGAACTCCTCTGCTTGTCGCCGTGTGAGAAGTGTAAACTAAGATTAGCTGGGTCCCAAATCGCATACTTATGCACTATTCTATGCCATTTTGTAGTATAAATAGTGTAAGTAGTGCGTTCACACTGAAAATTCTAAAAATAATAAGTGCACTTTAATTACCCTGATAATGCACTCATTCAGCCGGTAAAATGAAGTGTGTAATGATGGACACTTCACGCACTCAACGACCGCAGGTTTGCCTACGTAGCGGAAGGGGCGGAGCTATCTGACGCACATGTTGAATAACTTTATTTATTTTGGATGGTGAAAGCAAAATTCTCCTACGAGAGTGATTATAGCGCCTCCCGATGGTGAATGCGGCAATACTGACGGCAGATATTATTTAATAATTTGGTCGTTTATTTCACTGATTTAGCAACCGTCAAACGTCATCAAGGAAACTGTTTGAATTTTCCGCTTAGTAAAAAAACAGAAGTGTGACATTTGGGACGCCACTACATACATATACTATTCTGCTGAGTGTGTAAGTGCATAAGTACATAGTGCATGAGTGCATAGTGTGCCATTTGGGACGCAGCTATAGTCTTAGGTGATAATTTGTTTTAGTCGATTGGCTATGGTTTATGTTTTTGGACGGTAGGAGGAACCCGGGGGAAACCCACGCGAACACAGGCAGAACATGTAAACTCCGCACAGAAACACAGACCAGCCCGATAGGAGATTGGACCAGCGGTGTTCTTGCTGTGAGGCAACAGTGCTAGCCACTGGGCCACCGTGTCACCCTATCGGCAAAAGGGGGGAAGTAGGGGTGGAGGTGGGGAAACTTCAAGACGAAGATAACTGGAGTGAAAAACTCTGGTTATTTATAATGCTTCCATAATCATCTAATAGGGCAGATTACGGAGCTAATGAGGAGCCAGCCGTGTTGATCATAAGCATGTGATCCTCTCGAAATTAGTTTATGAATAAACCACACTTAAACTGCTTATTTAAAATGAGCTGAAACACAATTCTGGAGATATTTTGTGGGACAACTTAATTGTCTTATGTTCAATCAACTTAAATGTGTTAAGTTAACTTAATTGATTTGTTTTGGGACAACTTGAAGGGATTTTGTGGAACCCTGCATTTTTGACAGTGCGTTACGGATGCATTGATTCATACCAGATGCACTGAAAAGACCCACACACAAAAAAATTTGCCCAAAAGCTCACACAATCTTACTCCACAGAGGCCACCATGAAAAGAAAAGTGCAAAATAAGTGCCAACACCCTTCAGGTTTGAGCCTTTTGCTCATTTTCGTGGCCTCTGGAATAAGATTATGTGCGCTTTTGAGCACATTTTGGTGTGTGGGTCCTCTTTTTTTGTCTTCTTTGCGTTTATACTCGAGAATAAGCACAGACGTACGTGATTTCTAAAACACATAAAGGAAAAATTCATTTAAAAAGGCACTTTGACAACCATGATAGACTTAAACAATTGATTTTTACTGTTTTTTAATTCATTCAGGAGGCGATACTGTGGCATAGTGGATGGGTAGCACGATCGCCTTACAGGAAAAAGGTCGCTGGTTTGAGTCCCAACTGGGTACGTTGGCATATCTGTGTGGAGTTTGCATGTTCTCCCTGTGTTGGCGTGGGTTTTCCCCACAGTCCAAAGACATGTGGTACAGGTAAATTGCATAAGCTAAATTGGCCATAGTGTATGTGTGAATAAAAGAGTGTATGGGTGTTTCCCAGTGTCGGGTTGTGACTGGAAGGGTATCCGCTGTGTAAAACATATGCTGGATAAGTTGCGGTTCATTCTGCTGTGGCGACCCCTGATTATTAAAGGGACTAAGCCTAAAAGAATTCATTCAGTCAATCGCCGGGTCTGGTGGAAGCATGCTTAGCTTTGCATAAATAATCGAATCAGATTAGACCATTAGCATCTCGCTCACAAATAATCAGAGAGGTAACTTTCGTGTTTAAAGCTTGGCTCTTCGGTAGTTACATCATATACTAAAACCAACAGAAAATGAAAAGTGGCTATTTGCTAGCTTGATATGGCTAGGAACTATACTCTCATTCTGGCGTAATAATTAAGGAACTTTGTTGCCGTACCATGGCTGCAGCAGGCGCAATGATATCAATGCTAATGTCATGTTTTCATATTTAACACTATCTGATGTTGACATTAGACATTTTCCTGAAAGTAAAATTTATTAATCCAACATCCAAACTGATATTCAACAACAAAAAATAAAACTAACGTTAAAGCTGCGTTGCAATGCTTATAGTGTTTGAAAATATGTCCCAAATCGTAGTATGCTGAAAAGAGCATGCCAAAAGTTCCCAGATTGTTTACCATTTCCAGTAAAACCTAAGTATAGAACTGAACATACTCTAACCGCTGATATTGCCCACAATACATTGCGCGTTGGACATGAATTTGATTAGAACTACAAATGCGGGAGAAAAGTGTAAATAAACTACAAACATGGCGGACGAGCGAGATCAACCATCAAGCAGAAAGGCTGCAGTAAAAAGATTTGTATGACTGTTATCTAATATCTAGCCCACTGGAATATATTTCAACAGCGTTTTCAGTGTTATATTTCATCTGCAACAACAATACTGAAGTTATATCAAGATATGTTTGGACATTAACGTCTGAATGCTTAATTATCCAACGACTCGAGGGGATTTATCTGCATGAAAGATTTGCGAATGGCAGAATAACCTGCTGCTGCTGCTTCTCCAATTAGGTAGGAAACTAAATATGAAAGAAATGTGCATGATGTGTGGATGATTGACAGGCTCATAACTAAGCAACGATCTGTTAACGGGGAAATATTGTTCCAAAGCTTGATACTCACACACTCAAAAGTATGTATATTTTTCCTTTACAAAAAAGTACAAACTTTAAGGGCGTAGTATAAGTATGTGAATTTGGACGCAGCATGTCTCCTTAACCGAACACACCTGGTTCAGATCAACAGCTCATTAGAGAAAGACCTGCGTTGGGTATGTCAGGAGACATCAAAAACATGCAGTGTTAGTTGTCCTCCAGGAACGTGGTTGAGTAACACTATCTTAAAAAAATAGCCTTACTGCCTGTCTAAATTTCATCATCTATGAAACAAAAGTAGCCCAAAACATGTCATACTTGTCTCAGCGTGTAGAGCAGCCATGAATACGACACCAGGATGATGGCGAATGGCACCGCGAAGCAGACGGAGAAGTAGCAGATGATGTAAGACACGTCTCTGAGTTCTCGACTCTGCCAGTGCGGCCCGCAGGACGTGCCCGCTCCCTCCAGCTGGTAGCTTCCCCAGCCCAGCAGAGGCGGAGTGTTCCAGATCAGAGACCAAAGCCAGCAGGACAACAGGCCTCCTGCGGCGTGTCTGCACTGAAACGTGATGGAGCCCAGAGGTCTGCACACCACAAACAGACGCTCCACTGCGATCAGAGCCACGGTGCACAGCGCGGAGATACCTGTGCGCACACAAACATGCCAGAGACAACATTTTACTTCAGTCATATGACAGCAAGGCAAGTTTATTCATTTCATACACAATGATAATTCAAAGTGCTTTAAATAAGAATAAAAGAAAATAGGTATATGAACTAAAAAACCCTACTGAAAAAAAACAGCTTAAACGTTGGCTGGTTTTAGCTGGTGGACCAGGCTGGTTTTAGAGGGGTTTTGGCCATTTCCAGCCTGGTCTTAGCTGGTCAGGCTGGGAGATGACCAGCTAAAACCAGCTTGACCAGCCTAGCCAGACTGGGAGCCCAGCTATGTCCAGCTTAAACTAGCCTGGAAGTGGGCAAAACCCCTCTAAAACCAGGCTGGTCAACCAGCTAAAACCAGCCAACCAGCCTATGCTGTTTTAAACTGGATTTTTCAGCAGTGACAGAATAAAAAACAATAAAATGTTTTAAAACATAACAGTGCGATTTGTCGAACAAAGCACTGTCGGTATGTTACTTTTAGGCAGTTGTACTTGTTTTGCAAATTGTACTGTTGTCAAAGTTTGTTGTACTGTATAGTTACAACTGTGTTTATACTTTGTTATATAGCAATATTGCAGCTGCACTTGAAAAGTTTTTCAAAATATGCCAATGTCAATTTTATTTATACTATTAAACATAACCAAAGGTTGACAAATCTGCTGTACAATACACATCACAATAAAGAAAAATATAAAATTAAAGCTTAAACGGACAGTGTTCATTGATAAAATGCCAAATCAAAGAGTTAAGTTTTCAACCTTAATTTAAAAACAGACCGAGATGATATAGATCTAATACAGAGGGGCAGAGTATTCCACCTAGAACCAGCTACTGTGAAAGCACGGTCACCTCTGCATTTTAGCCCCGACTTAGGGATACATGACAATCTCTGGTTAGATGACCGAAGAGACCGACCAGGCTGATGCTCGATCAACATGTCTGACAGATAGGCAGATGCCAGGTCATTTACAGATTTAAGAACCAAGAGAACCTGCACAAGTGTATATATAATAAGCAAAAATACATTGTAAGAGTAAAAATTATTGATTTGATTGTCAAAAATTAATTATTAACTAAAACTCATATTCGCTTGCAATATTTTGTAATTTTCTAGCTGTAAATGTATCCAAACCAAAACTATTAGTGATACACTTTTCTAAACACTTAATTTGAACATCTTTAAAGACATTTTTTTTTTTCAATATTTAGATTTTTTTTTTTTTAAGCTCTCAGATTCCAAATTTTCGGATCATTTTATTTTAGCCAAATATTGTCCTATAGTAAGAAACCATACACCAATGGAAAACTTGCCAGCTCATTTCCTCAGTCACAATTTGTCCATTTAAATAATAAAAGCCTTGTTTTATTGGTTCTTTTATTGGCTATTTTTCTTAAAGCCTTTTTCTATTGGTTATTTTCACAATTCATGATGGCATACTGTCAAAAATGGGATAAATGAGCTCATATAGGGGCCAAGTTCTGACTTCTTTCGAATCCCCCGAACCTATTACAAATGCATTTTTTATTACTCACCCTTTTGTTTCAAACTTTAATGAGTTTAAACTAAGTGTGCCGCAAGCCTACGTTTGAGTGAAGGTTTCGGCCGTTAGATCGCCCCCTGGGGGCTGGCTGCAGTACAAGTCATAAAGCCCGCCTCCTCCGTGTTAATGAAGGAGACTTGAGCCCAAATAAAAAAAATATTACACTTGTAATAAAATGTCCCGAAAGATAGTTCTGGTCGATTAAGGCACTGGTTATTGTGCTGAAATAGGTGCAGATCTTCATTTTTGTAAACAGTTTGTTTTTAGCAGTAATTTAATGCTGGGCGTGTCATCGTGATTGACAGTTGTGATTGACAGTTTCTCAAAGCGCGGCGTCTGAGCTTCGGCAGGAGACTGAAGTAGACTGAAATGTTATTATTCGATTTCTGTGTTATTTTACCATGACAAAATGAGTTCAGCAGTAAACTATAGTTTCTGACATACATGATCCTGGTGGAACACTGTTTATTCGCTAAGTTCAGGGCTTTTTTCGGGCTTTATTAGTTTGCTGATACACGCCTAGCCACCCAGATAGCAAAACACAGTTCCGGCTAGATTCTCGCCTGCCGGAGACTTATCTCTTAGAGCTCAGACTGACTAACGTTACCTCTGCTGGACCTACTCCGGATGCCTGGACTCACTACCCAATTCCAGCCCGAGTCAATCGAGCCAGATGCGGCGGCCGAGCGAGCAGGCGCTGCCGCATGCGAGCCGGAATCAGCCCGCGACGCCGCGAGTAAGTTATGTGTTGCGGCCTAGAGCTGGCGCGATTGAATATATAAAACCCTCATATTTGTTAACGTTATTACATCCATTTGTGTTGATATGACAGCAAACGCATGCTGAGAAGTTCGGGGGGCGTAGTTGATTTTACATAAAGCGTTTGATTGGAAGCTCGACTCCGCTCATTTTCGCGGCTCCTCCTCTGGCTCCATCAGACAATCCTTCTGCGCATGTCTGGCTCCAATTTCAGCAGTCTTTTACGACAGTTTGTGCCCGTCAAGCAGGCGTTTTGCCCTCAAGGCGTTCAATGGGAAAAAGGGCTGTCGCGTCGTCCATATTTTTTACAGTCATTGGTTTAAACACACACAAAAAAGCTAGAATCCTGTAACCATTGACTTCCATAGTATTTGTTTTTCGTACTATGGAAGTCAGTGGCTTTTCAGCTTTCTTCAGAGTTTAATCTTTTGTGTACAACAGAAGAAAGAAAAGCATAAAGGTTTGAAACCACTTGAGAGTGAGTAAATAGTGAGTACGTTTTAGTTTTTGGGTAAACTATCCCTTCAAATAATAACATTATATTAGATGAAGTCTTTTATTTATTTCACCAGTGTCTGTAAGCTTGTGTGCAGTTTATACATTAAAAAATTATTAATTGGATTTACTAAAACAATTTAAGTGGCTGCAAACTATTTATATAAGCTGAATTGAAACAAACAAATGTAATAATCTTCAACCTAATTTGTTTATTTAAATTCAGCCCATTCAGGAAGTTAGCAACCACATACCTTAAAGAAATGTGGTAAATCTAATGAATCATTTGTGTCAGTGTACACCGTAAAGTCTAAATAATTATTTCATGTTCAACCTGGATGAGACTTACCAAAAAATGCAACACAAAATCCCTCCAATACACAGCCGATCCGTCCCATAATGTAGTAGCCTACAGCATTGGTCACCACAGATGGCACGCTTCCTGTTAGTGTGGTGCCCAGGTCGGCCACGGCGAGGTTAACCAGGGCAAAATTGAGCGGCTGCCGCAGCTGTTTGTGCCGCAGGGTGACGACTATCACTGTAGCGTTCAACACGACAGATGTGATGGAGAACACGGCCATGAGGAGGGACAGCGTGATGAATCCTGCCCGGGGAAGAGGCACCTTCAAACCAGGGCCATCATAGTGAGTGGAAGAGTCGTTGAGGAATTCTGGGAAAAAGTCCATCTTCTTAAGTCTTAGCTAAAAATGCCAACCAAAAAAGGTAGTTTTCCAGTCAAGCTAAGTGTATTGTTCTGTGCTGTGTCATTCGAGTTGATCAGACATGCACATTTGAATCACATCATCATGTCAGCACAGTCGGAGACGCACAAAAAAGAGCTCTTATTCAGATTAGGTGCTGTAAGAAGAAAAGTCCCGAAGATCCGGATTTAAGACACAATAAGTCCTCCTGGGTGTGATTTTTCTGATCTAGCTCTTCCCTTGATTGCTGTTGAGGAATGATTTGAGCTACTGAAAAAGAATCGTGAACAAAAACGCTGCCTTCTCTGTGTGGATTTTCTCTTATGAATAATGTCAGATGTGATGATTCAAGGTGGATCATTCCGCTGTGGCGACCCCAGATTAATAAAGGGACTAAGCCGAAAAGAAAATGAATGAATGAATGATGATTCAACAAAATCAGATTTAGAGATTTGTTTGATATAAATATATTTGGAAGAAATTTGCATCAGTGAGTGCAATACATTCTCCATTTAAAAAATACAAAATCCCTCATGCTAACGATGATGGCTTATTTTTTATCATTATTCATTATTTATCATTAACAGTGTTTTTTAACTTTGAAAATGTTACTTGACATGGAATGATAAATATAAGTACAGTATATTAAAATGTAAATTTCTTTGCTTTCTCTGTCAACTAAAATTACAAAATGCATATAATATTTGTAGGCTTAAAAATTGAACATAATTTTAGCCTTATGTTAATTCACCCTATGTCAATGCAGTGACGCCTTACGTTATTGCTTTAGAGGTGCTCCTATGATTCAGTTTATTGAGATGAGATCATGTAACTCAATGCGTTTAAGATGACAGATTTTGTAAAGGGTTTTGTAAGGGATTAAATGCGATGTGTAACTTCAGTCAGCACTAAATTTGACCTGCTAAGAGTTTTAACTTCCATTAAGACAAGACCGAGATTATGTGTGTTTATTGGCCTGTATTCAGAACTCCAGCACAGACTAACCGGATTGATCAAACTACTACTTCTGTCCCTAAAAGACCCGCACTCTTAGCTTTGTCTTTGTCATTGTGATTAAAGCAGGATCAAACACTTAAAAACACTTCTGTTTCTGGATGTGCATCTGTACTGTAGTTCCACCAGATGCACTTTACAGTACCTTTAAAAGAAATGTTCCCCTAAAATACTTTGTTCTTAAATTGTTGGCAAAAGCTGTTCAAATAAACAGAAAAAATAATTGAACCATAACACTCTATAACACATAAGTGACATTTAAGATCATAAACATTTGACTTTCAAAATTCAGGGTTGGTAGTTTTTGATTCTTGTATTTGAATTAAAAATACAATATAAACATAAACGTTATATATACACTGTAAACGATTTCTGTTGTTTTCACGGTATTATACTGCATTTCTCAACAGTTGTTTACTGTATAAGCTGTGTACAGTGTGTTACTGTATATATTGCTGTTTTCACAGCATGATAATGTATTCTCAACATTTCCATACTGTGAACATGATTAACAGTATGCTACTGCAGATTTTACAATGAATTTTGGGAAAAAATCAGTTACTGTGCATCTAAATACAGTACTGCAAATGACCATGAAAAACTCTACACACACTTTATATTATTATTATTATTATGTTTATTTTATTTTTTGACAAAGTATTTTGTGAAGAAAAATAAAATAACCAGTTTCTTCAGACTGTTCAGTGCATAAAACTGTCCCCTGGTTTTCCATATTTGGGTGTACTGCACCTTAATTTTATAAGGTTAACATGAAAATATTAAATCATTTTTAATCAACATAACTTTGTGCTTAACCAAAACGTAAACTGGAACAAAAGTAATTGATTCATCATGAAACCAAAGTCAGCTTAAATGTCATAATGACCAGCCTGCTTTAGACGGATTCATGAGGTTTGGGCAACCGTCATCACCATGGAGGTCACATATCTCCGCATTTTCAAAACAATATTTTAAAATACCCATCATCTCTATAAATAAACCACAGACTTGAGTTAAAAACAATTACATTCCCGCATGAAAAACGGTTAAAACTAAATTTTATAACACATTCATTATAGAGCCATCTAAGACCGGGGCAAGTCTCACATGTCTAGCCGATTATAACCTCGTTTCGCCGGATACATGAGTGATGATGGACACCCTGGAGGTCAGAATCTGCTATCGGCAAAGCACTAAAATTTACGCATGATATCTATAAATAAACCACAGATTTGAGTTTGTAAGAACTACATTCTCGCATGAAACACTGTTAAAATTTCATTTCGTGACATATTAAACGCAATATTTATAATATGGGCTTTCTCATCCGCCATTACCATTTGCTTGTAGATGTGAAATGAATTCTGGGAGAAAAAAAAAATATATTTATATATAATTCTCAAAACACTTCAAACGAACTTTATTCTTATTGTCAAGGTCAGATATATGTAATAATTTCGCTGGTAAAGTGAATAAAAAACAATGTTACTATATTGTAATCAATATAACGTTTGCACTGGTTCGGTTCAGCATTCGAGCAACTCTAAATCGTATTGAACCGAATTGAACCGTTTGCTCGGGAATTATTTGATCACACGTGTTCACAAGCACATTCAGCAATATGCAATTAGTGTATAATTAGTGTATAAATGCGTGTGGCCAAGCAGGATAACGAAATAGTAATGAATCATATACAAAAAGGAATCGGTTTTAGGCGGATTTGATTCTTTACTGTGCACTAAGGAGCCGATTCATAGAACCGAACGGACACGACTCGACATGCAGGCAACGGCTCTCCTAATTTGAAATTCACCTGTCGTCTTTCATCCAGCGAATTCATCCTCGGTAAGTGTTTTAAAGTCAAATTCTGTCCGTTAAAGGATTGTTTTATAAGTATTTCTGTGTTTTGTGTGTTATTTTAAAGAATTAACCAAGTGACATTAGTTGTAGGTTCTTATGTGACGCTATCCGTTAACAAACGGTATTTTAAACAAGAAATAACAGACGCCAGGCGGTCATTGTAGTGTTTGCGAGGTATTAGATACAGTGAGTTTATCTTGAGTGAGTTTTTGACCATACGTTAAGTTACCTGAAAAAAACATAACTTTAACTTATTGTAACTGCATTAATGAATTCTCTATTTCAGCACAACACTGAGATGAAGGCGAAGTCACCATGAAAAGTTAAACGTTTACCGTTAAGGTAAGCTCTGGTCTTCACATAGTCATTATGACTAAGCTATCATTATGGTAAAATTTTTCAACTGTAAGTTAGTTATTTAAACTAAACTCATAATGAAATGAGTCTTAACTGTTTTATTAAATGGAGCTGAAAATTAAATGCAGTTGAATTATTTTAAGCTAACGTTAATATTAACAAAATACATATTAATTGTCTATTTCTCAATAATGTTAATGAGCTTGATGTATAGTTAGTGTGTCATTAACTGTACATTTAATTTTTGGTGTTCAGGTGTACCTGAGGTGAGTGTACGTTCTGAGTACACAGATATAAGCCAAAGTCATTATCACTATATATATATATATATATATATATATATATATATATATATATATATATATATATATATATATATATATATATATCCATCCTATTCTAAGAGAAATTGATGGGGTCAGGGAATGATTTGTGTACAAATGTATTTTAACCCCATACAGATTGGTATGGTTGTACCATAGATTTAGATTAATTAATGTTGAGTCTTATTTTACTCTTATTATATTTATCTGTTTTTCAGCTACAGTAATTGATGTTGAAAAACTGATGCTACCAATCACTCCTCACTTGATTGTTCAAGGTAATGTTGATGTCTTCCTCATTTTGATTAGATTTTTAAATGTCAAGTTGTTCACAGATTTGTTGTGAGGAGTTTCATGTAAAACCTCTTTTTCTTCTTCCAGCAGTTCTTAAGATTAAAAAAATCTGGTGTTAAAAAAGCCACGCCTTTGCTATCTGCCTACCAAGTGCTGAGTAAATATTAGACAAACATTTTTTTCTATAACTGTTGTCTTTATGTTTATTTGCAATTTTACTGGGCGTATGTGTTTTTTTTTTCAAACAGCCAGGAAACTGTAAGTTTAGTTCAATATGTTATTTTATGCTATTCATTTTTGTGTTAACATAGATTGCATGTTGAAGCTATCGTTTTATAGTGGGAAAATGTAAAAGAGAATCACTGAATACAATGGCATAATGATTCTGCTTGTTCAAAGAAAGTACTTGATTTAGTTTTCCTCAAGCGACACATCAGTTTTTATGACTATTGCTTGACACTTGAATTGAAGGGACAGTTCACCCCAAAATGAAAATAATAGCATCTTTGGCATCCTCCACTTGTTTCAAAATAGTTATACATTTAATTTGTTCCGTTGAACACAAACTCGTATTTTTTAAAGAAATTTGGTTCAAATATGGATGTCAATAGTTACTGGTTACTAACATTCTTCAAAATATCTGCTTTAGTGTTTAACAGAAATTTAAACGGATTTAAAACACATGGAGTAATGGTGGCAAAAAAGTAAACTATCCTTTTAAATATTTTATTCTGAGACTTATTTATATATGTCTTGTCTTTTGCCATATTGTCTTTCTAGCTCAGATTGTGATGAACCTGGAATGTGACACCAGTTACTCTTAAGACAAGAACCGAATAAAGCACAGATGTGGAGGGATTTGCAGCCAAACTAACTGGAGGGAAGGAACCTTTAGGTAAAATCACCTACTTTATTTAGATCTGAAGTATTTTATTTGACATAGAGATTTATTGTTTTAATTCTAATTTAAAGCAAACAAGGTTGAGCACCCCTGGTCTAAAAGCTCAAAAACGCTGTTTCCGTGATAAGGTTAAATGTAGTTGAGAAACAGATTCATTAGGATCAATGCTTAAATTAAACATTTTCTCTTTCTCTGTAGACCAAACATGTTTACTATCCCTCACATTTTAATAAATT